AGCAACTCAGTCCCTCGGGGAGTTTGGATCTGTCCATGGGGCCTCCATGACCTTTCCTTGTACAGGTTGTGTTAGTTTCCCCTGTATTGTGTACTGTCTGACCCTTCACCCAAGATACCGCTTGTCTATTCAAAGGCTGTAATCTTATAGAAGAAGATCACTGGGCCTTTCTTCTGCAGCACCGCTGAGTGTATTTGAACCACCAGCCTTTTAGTTAGTAGGTGAGCGCGAGCCACTTGTGCCACCCAGGGACCTCTGTAAAGACTGAGGTGGAGATTATAGGCAGAAGCAAACAGGCCCAGCTTTATTGAGGTGAAGGGCAGGGGAGGGGCTGCCAGAGGCGGGGCCATCGGAGGGGGGACTGCAGGGAGGGCAGTCTGGAGTGCAGTGTCACTTCTTCCACTCCTTCTTGTCATAGTCCCACCGTGCAGCCAGGCCTTGCACGGGGTTGCCCTTCATATCCAGGATGCGCTGGAGCTGCTGGGCCTTCCACTCGTCTGTCAGGGTGATGGGCTTCTCGGGGAACACTGTGGAGAGGGGGTGCAAGGGGGACAGGGGCAGCTCAGAACCCTACCAGGCCCACCGTGCCCCAGAGCCTTGGTCTCCAGACACAGAGCTCGTGCTCTGAGGGGCTCCCTCCACCTTGCTTGTCACCCCAACAGACTCGTTCCTAAAGCATCGCTCCAGTGACCTCTGGGTTCTGACCCTAGTTCCACCTTAGACTTTGCCATGGGACCTGGGCCAAGCTCCTTCCCCTCTCTGAGCCTCAGTCTCCTCACCTGCCCCTGTGGCCCAATGGTAACAGGAGCACTGATTTGAAGTCTGCCTGGATCCAAATCCCAGCTCCACCACTCTTGTTGTGTGACCCTTCAATGAGTCACTTCATCTCTCTGAGCCTCAATTTCCTTATCTGTCAAAAACAGGTCCTATCCACTAGGGTTGTGGGGATCCAGTGTGACAGTATTTGTAAAGCAATTGGCACAATGTCTGACAGACAATAAGTGCCCAATGCATGTTATGTGCTATCATTATAACTGCTGAGCTTATTCCTGCTCACTGTAGGGTCCAGGGTGAGACTATTTCATCTGTTTCCTGAGCGGGTTATGGTCCAATGGGTGCCAGCATGATTCCTTTAAGAGCTTGGCTGGTAGCTGTGGCCACAGGGGCGTGGCCCAGGCCTGAGCCAGGTAAGGCGTCACCCACTCACCATAGACCCGCTGCCACCAAATCAGCAGAGCTGTGACTCCAAAGAAGAAAAATACACCTCCCATCACCGTCTTCCATTCGTTGGAGTGACGGTTCATCTCTGCAAAAGTCTCATGGAACTGGAGCCGGTACACTGGAGGCAGGGGGCAGGGGAACGGGCGTCAGTTGTGTCTGCCCCAGGAACCCTGAGGCAACTCTTGCTCAGGGATCCCTGGCCTCCCCCTCCCCACAGCAGATGCAGTTCATTCAACAAATGCTTACTGGGCATCTACTGTACGCAAAGCATGGCCAGGAGCCGAGGATGCAGTAGTGAAGAAGCCAGATGAAAACTCCTGCCCTTGTGAACCCCACAGCTCAGAAAGGGAGAGAGATAACAAATGCTTAGCTAGACTGTGGGCAGGGCTACTTCAGTGGTCAGGGAAGGGCTCTCACAGAAGGTGACACCGTAGCTGAGGCCTAAGAAATCAAAGCGGGATTTGATTCAGGCCGAGGCAGGAAAAGCGAGTGCAAAGGGCCTGAGGCAGGAAGGGGCCAGGAAAGGATGGTGTGAAGGTCAGTGTGGCTGGAGCGAGCAAAACGGATAGTGTGGCAGGTGAGGGCTCAGCGGAGTCAGACCTCGAAGGCGAGGAGTTCTGATTTCATTCTAAGTGAATTGGGGAGGGTGAGTTTTAGGCAAGGAAGTGATAAGATTGTGCATTTATTTGACTCAAACTTTTGTTAGGACTCTGAGTTCCTGACCGTCATGTCCCTCACACTTTAATATTTTTATTCATCTGCTCTCTTATTTACTGCTCATCTTTCCTACCCAACTATAAGCTTCAGGGGGACAAGGACTCTGTTTATTGTTACATTCTCAGCACCTAGAATAGCGCTTGGTGCTCCTAATCAATATTTCTAGAATGAATGAACGAACAAATGTCTGGCTGGAGATTCCTAGAGAAATCAAGCAGGGCTACTGCCCTCAAGGAGACTGACTTCAGGGCAACAGGCATTTCAGGCTGAGGGAACTGCTAGTGCAAATGCCCAGAGGTGGGCAAGTGTGTAGTGCATTCAAGGAAGGGGATGGAATAAGTAAAGCTGGAGTTTGGGGGAGTTTTCTCAGGGAAGGGTGGGTGGGGATGAAGGTGGGAGGGCACTCCTGAGCAAAGATGCAGGGTGGATGTGGCAAGCGCAAGGCCTGTTTGGAGAACAGCAAGGAACCTGGAGTTGTTGGGCAGAGGTGGCAGAGCCTGAAGGGCCTTGAATGCCAGACCCAGGGGTCCAAACTTTAAGCTGTGCCAATTCGGAAGCTGTGACCTTGGAACAAGGAGCTCTGGTGGTGCAGTGGTTAAGTGCTCGGCTGCTAACCAAAAGATCAGCAGTTCGAACCTGCCAGCCGCTCTGCAGCAGAAAGATGTGGCAGTCTGCTTCCATAAAGATCACAGCCTTGAAAACCCTACGGGGCAGTTGTACCCTGTGCTATGGGGTTGCTATGAGTCGCAGTTGACTCAACGGCAGCGGCAGCGGGTTTCGTTTTTCGTTTTTGGTCTTGGAATTATTTTCCTGGAGGACACTCCCTCGCCCTGCCACCCTCCCCATTTGTCCTAACCTACAAAGCCTGGCCCCAGCTCCACCTCCTCCAGGAAGCCTGCCTGAATAGCCTCATTTGCCAGAGATTCACTCTCTCAGCTGAGCTGCTACCGAATAGCCAGTCTCTCAAAATGCCTGCGATGTGGTTACTTCACAGCCATGAGCTCCTCACACCTGTGTGAGTCACCTGCCTAATCTCATATGCTCTGGAGCCAGCTGCCCTGGGTGTGAGCCCTGGCTCCACCACGGCTGCTCTCTGAGTCCTTGGGCAAGTCACTTCAGCTGTCTGGGCCTCGGTTTCCTTGTCTGTGAAATGGGCAAATGCCTACCTCATAGGGCTGATGTGAGACGAAGTGGGATTGGACAGGTCATGTGCGTTGCACAGTTCCTGGCACCTAATAAGCACTGGATAGTGGCTGATATTATTATTATTATTATTACTCTAAAACAACAGCCCCACTTCCTCACCCCCTTGGTCACTGCCCTGGTACAGCCCTCTACCACCTCTCACCTGGACCAGCCACCTCACTGGTCCTTCTGCCTATTGTCCCTCCACCCATCCAGCAGCCAGAGGGCACCTTCTCATACCACCTGGCTTCAAATCCAACAAATTGAGGCTTAAGGAAATAAAGTCTAGTTTTCTCACATAAGGAGCTGTCTGGAGGTGGCAGTCCAGGCCTGGCACAGCTGCCTAGCGGTGCCACCTTAGTTTTTAGACCATGAGTATTGCCAAATGAAATGACAAAGTGCAGAAGAGAGGGTGAGGGGGCTCCTGTAATGGGAGGGAAGGCAAGGACTACTCCTACATGCACGCACACTCTAGGCTCTCTGGGAAAATACATAGGAGCCTGGTCACAGGGGACTGGGTGGAAGGGAAATTGACCTCTCCCTCTTTCCTTTTAAAATGTTACCCTATGTGTATAACCCTTTCTCAGTACATTAACTAAATATGAAAATAAATAACTAAGGAAAAAATTAAAGCTGCCAGCAGAATTCCTTGGGGAGAGGAACTGTCTTTGGTTTGAGCAAGTGGGTGGTTCATTGTGAGACCGTGAGATCAACCAGCAGGAGTATGAATTTCCACAGCAGGCAGGAGCTGTGGGTATGAGCAGGGAAAAGGCAACATTTGGGGTGGGGTGGGGGACAGTGAGGAAGCCCAGCCAGTAGTGGATGGAGTCAAGGGCCAAAGCCCCACCATGTCCAGTGGTCAAAGTAAGTCGTTTGCTGAGCTCTGAGGGTCCACTGTAACTCACCAAGCAGTGCACCCAGCCTTCAGCATAGCATGTGGTGTAGTATCTAAAGGTAGAACCCCTGGTGCCAGGCTGTGTAGGTTCAAATCCTGCCTCCACCACTCTCTAGCTGTGTTACTAACCACAAGCAACTTCACCTCTCTGAGCCTCAGTTTCCTTGACTGTGAAATGGGGCTAGTGAGAGTGCCCACCTCCACAGCAGTGCCTGCTGCATGGTAATTGTGCAGGAAATATTAGGGATTGTGCTTAATACCATCTTGCTTTGTGTGTGTGGCACTGCGATGAAACAAAAAAAGGCAGGTAGTGTCCCGTTTCTGAAGTGAATGGAGAGAAACAGACCAAGATGCCAGAGAGAGAGCTGAGAGGAAGGAAAAGACCTGAGGGAGACAGGGCTGGGGATGCGCGCTCACGAGGGCAAGGACGAGGCCGGCTTTCCGTGCTCCCGGTGCCTGGCATTGAAGTAGGCGCTCAGTAAGTTGTTGAATGAATAAATGTGAGAATCATGAGCGTCTCTCCACCAGAGAATCCCCCGAAATGCTGGAGGTCAGGCTGGATCCAAGGCTCCAGATATTAAAGGGTCATCCCAGGGACACTTTTGGTGGGCAGGACTTGGGGACCCGAATCCCTCCGGCTTCCCAGGATCAGGTCCCTGCCCTCCCACCACCACCTCACCTGCTGCCCTCTGCTCCAGTGCCCCCACACCACTCAGTGATGCCCGCAAGCCACCACACTCTCCTGCCCCCACACCCTCCCCCATGCTGTTCCCACTGCCTGGCAGTGCCCCCCTCCTCACCCTTCAAGGCTGGCTGGAACATGCCCTCTTCTGGGATGCCTGTCAGGATTCCATCCCTCTCTCCTTTGGGTCTTCACAATTCCTTGAACATACCTCATCCTAAACACCTATCCCGTATTCCAGTTATGGAGTCTGTGTCGGTTTCCCCCACTGGACTAGGAGCACCCTGGGCAGGAACCACTGGGTGATTTGACTGTGTCCCGAGGATTGCCCAGCTGTGCACACATAGGAGCTTCTGAATGGTGTTGCATGAATGAATGAACAAATGAATTAACTTCACCCTTCGGATGTGCACTCAGGGGGTTGGGGTTCCTGACAGTCTTGGGGGCCTGTCCCTGCTCCACTGCTCCTGACAGGCCCTTCTTTTCATTCATACATGCACACACACACAATTTCTCTCTCTCTCTCACACACACACACACACACACACACACACATGCACGCACGCACACGCGGGCGCCCGTTTTCCCCATCCAGCCCTGCCCTGAGACCTACGGGCCACCTTCTCGGCATGGGTCAGCTCGGTCCAGCTGCCCTTCTCCTTCTCCTTCAGGGCCCGCTGCTCAGCACTGAGCTCCGTGCAGAAGGGCTCATCTGGCATCGGGTAGGAGCGCTGGGCGTGGTAGCTGGTGTAGGGGGGCATCTTCCCCTCACTCTGGGCTGCGGGCACAAGGGAGGGAGCTGAGTCCAGGCAGCTACCGGCACATCCTGTCTCTAACCATACTATCAATCAAGAGGGCTGCATTTATTGAGCACTCACTGTCTGCCAGGAAGCATTCTAAGGCCTCCAGGTGTGTTTATTCATTTTACTCTGTATCACTCCGTATCAATCCAGGTGAGATTGTTTCCCCATTTTACAGATGAAGAAACTGAGTAGCTAAGTGACTTGCTGAAATTCACAGAGCAAGAAGGGGCAGGGCAAGGGCTAAGCCCCCAAGGGCTCTCTGTGGGTCTTCAGCGTGCCCAGAACAAGGCTGGGCACTAGGGATGGGGTGGTCTCAATAAAGGTTTCCCTGTTTATCCACACCAGAGATACCCATAAAGAGGGCATTGGTGCCACCTTGTCAGATGGCATTGGAACTGCCTTGGGCAAGGGGTCCTGGCTCTTCTAGCTTCTAGCTAGTCTTCTAGCTCCCTGGGCCTCAGTTTGTTCTTCTGAGAAGTGGAGATAACAGTACAGCACCCACCTCACGGGATTGTTGTGACATCTAAATATGTTAATCCATGAAAAATGAGACATACAGTAAGGGCTCGGTAAATGCTATCATTGTTATTATTCTCCTGAGGGTCAGGAAGGCCCTTCTATTATCTGGCTAAAGTCTCTCCTGCTTTAGGCCTCTTTCTTCTGACATTATGGTTTGGAAAGGAGGATTCAGGGTCCAAGGTTCTTTCAACATCCTCCACCTCAGGACACAAGGGCCTTGGGGGCCTGAGGTTTGGGGGTCAGGCCCTGAGGAAGCCTAAATGGAGAGGTTGCTGTCTGCTCACCCTGCAGGCTCCATTTCCTGGAGAAAGTTGGCTCAGGTCCAAGGAACGGGATCATGGGAAGAGTTTGGGGGCAGTCACTGGGTGGCATGGAAGGGGCAGCCTGCAGACAGACCCCTTGCGCCCTGGCCCTAGAGTTGCAGCTGGAGGGGCCTGGGTCTTACCATTGCCTCCCGGGCTGTGTATCCCTCGCATTCCGAGTCCTTTTCTCAGCGCCAGGCTCCAGGTGGCTCTGGAAAGCATCTGGGGTGTGCCTGTGGATGAGTTCTGCCCCCAGGGCTCTCTGCCCCTCACGCCTCAAGGTCCAAACTGTGAAACACTCTTTCCCAGGTGTGTGTGTGGAGGGTCCAAGAATTTCAAGGTCACTCTCTTGCCCCTGATCTATGTAATTTTCTCTGATATTCCCATGTGGGGACATGGGGGTTCTAGGCATTCAAAGCCCCCTCCTGGGACCTCAATTCACCATCTGAAAAGTGGGAGGAGGCCTAATTCTTAGGGCAGGGACTGAGAGTTTGAGGCTGGGGGCCTGGGTTCTGGTTCCAGCCCCCGCTTGGCCGAGGCCGGAGACCTCCCTCAGTGCCTGCCCCCAAAAGAAACTGGGTGAGAGTCAGGGTAGGGAGGGGGCAAGTCCTGGAGCCACCTCGCTTCCCAGCAGGGCCATCTGCCAGGTCTCTGTCCAGAAGGTCTGGTCCCTACCCCTAACTGGCTGCCTACGTGCTGGGGAGCCTGCTCCGCTTCATCTGGTGGGGGAGGGGGACAGGCTGAGCCCAGCCCCCTTAGCCCCAGGGAAGTCGCAGGGTCCAGCATCCCACAGGGGTGAGGAATCACTTTAGGGGAGGGCGGGGACCAAACCGGGTCAGAGACAGGGAGGGAAGCGCACATCTGGGGAGAGGAAGGGGGCATCCCACTTCTAGAAGAGGGAGGGGCCCCCACATCTGGCGAGAGAGAGGGACGCCCAATAACTAGAGTGAGGGAGAGGGCGCCCTAGTCTAGGGAGAGGAAGGGGTAATCTACATTTGGGGAAAGAGACGGCGCCCCATATTAGGATAGAGGATAACTCCAGAGGAGTCCCCAACTCTGACCTACCAGAAGCCCCCTCTCCCAGGGCAGAGACCACAGGTGCCTGACCGGGTGGCAGAAGCGGGGTCCAAGTCGAGGCCTCCACCCGTCCAGGCTTGGACAGCGGGGGCTCTCCCACCCACCCACTCACTCACCTCGCAGGCTCGGCAGCAGCGGCACAGCGACCCGAGTCTGCGGAGCGGGTAATGAAGAATGGGCTGTGGAGGGACCTGATCGCGGCGCCCGCCCCTGGTCCCGCCCCGCAGCCTTCCCCAGGGACGCCCCCGCGTGGGAACGTCCTGCCTCGTCTGGGCGTGGGAGCGCCCAACCTGCGCCTCTGGGGGCCACAGCCTGGGAGGAGGGACTGCAGAGCGACTCCCCGCCTCAGTTTCCCCATCCACAGGGGTCCTGCCTCTGGAGACCCTCAGCTGACAGCGCCTGAGACCTGGCCAGCATTGTTCCCTCTCGCTGTGTGTCCCAGCTGGCCCAGTCCTCTGAGCTGAGCAGTCCCAGGAGCAGGATCTCCCTGCCTCCACACCTTTGCTCACTGCTGTTCCCCCTACCTGGAATGCTCTCCTTCAGCCTTTGCAGGCCCAAGTCTTCCAGTCCAGGCCCAATGCCTCCTCCTCCAGGAAGCCTTCAAGGATTTGGGAGCTGGCCTGTGATGTACCTTTCCCCATACCAAGTGAGAGAACTCCTGCTGGGGTTCAAACCTTTGCTGTCTGACCTCCAACAAAGAGCTTAACCTCTCTGAGGCTTTGTTTTTATTTCTATGAAGGGAGCTAATAATAGTTCCTACCTCACAGGGCTGCTGTAAAGACTGAATCAGTTAATAGAAAAGCATCAGACACATTTATTCAAAAATTATTTATTATGAGCTATTACAGCTGGGGAAGCCCTGGTGATGCAGTGGTTAAGAGCTTAGCTACTAACCAAAAGGTTGGCAGTTCCAATCCACCAGTCGCTCCTTGGAAACCCTATAAGGCAGTTCTACTCTGTTCTAAAGGGTCACTATGAGCTGGAATCGACTCAACAGCAACAGGTTTAGTTTGGTTTTTTGGTATTACAGCTGGGAGTCCCTGGATGGTAGAAACGGTTAATGCTTGCCCTCAGCTGCTAACTGAAAGGTTGCAGGTTCGAGCCCACCCAGAGATGCCGAGGAAGAAAAGCCTGGTGATCTATTTCTGAAAAATCAGCTATTGAAAACCCTATGGAGCACAGTTCTTCTCTGGCACACATGGGGTAGCCATGAGTTGGGGTCAACTTGATGGCAACCAGTACTGGTATTACAGCGGACATTTACAGTACTGAGTGTTTATGTGGCTAAATGCTTGGGGATATTGAGATATGAACAAAACTAGACAGCTTCTGCCTTTACAGGGTATACAGTCCAGTTCCAGGCAGAAGAAATGGCCTGTGCAAAGGCCCAGAGGCAGGAAAACACAAGATAAGTTCAAAGAACAGAAGGGAGGCTCGCTTGTCCAGAGTCTAATGGGGAGAGGAAAGCTGGAGGCTTGGTGAAGATCTTGAATTTTAGTCTGAAGACTATGGGAGGCCACTGAAGGTAAGCAGGAGATATGGGTAAATGGAGGAGAGTATGAGTTCAGTACATGTGGGCTGAGATTCTGTTAGTAAACTGATGGCGGACTGATGGGTGAAGGCTGTAGCCCTTCTGGCCTGGGGACCCGCGCTTTCTAGATCTCACCACTCTGAGCCCATGAGTGTGCCCAGCTCCCACCCATCCCCTTGCCCAGTAAAGCCATAGGGACAAGCTCCAGCCAGTGTCTGGAGTAAGAGAATTTAGTCCCTGGGGTAGATGAGCCTGGAAGGGCAGGAACTCAGAGGAAGGGGCTGGAGGGATACTAGGTGGACAGGAGGCATATCACCTCCGTTCTGGACCTCAGCAGGGACTGACACTGTCCTGAAAAGGCAGTTTGGGAGTCTCCGGGGTCTCCAAGAGACCCCCAGTTCCCAGGACTAGTTACGCATGATCCAGCGCCCCCTGATGGCCACTACTGGAAGCCGCCCCATCCCCACGAAGAAAATTCAGATTTGAGTGACACCAAGCCAAGACGACCACCTTGCTTCTTCATCGCTGAGCAGGGTGTCCTAAAGAGTAGCCCTATGGACAGAGGGCAGGGAATAATCTTAGGCAATTTGGAGAACTACCCGCCTTTAGTCTTGCCAGACGTCACCAAAGACAGGCGGGCGCCCCCTGCAGGTGAAGAGGATGTTACTGCACTGGAGTGAACGTCCAGATGCGTGGATTCTACAGCTGCCTCCCTGGGTGGGTGGCCAAACGACGCCATTTCTAGGCCTCAGTTTCCTCATCTTTTGAGGGCCTCCCAAGGGAAGGCATTAGGGGAATGCAACCCTCTGTTCTTTCCTGCCCTCCCCCAGCCCCGCCCCTGTGGGAACTCCAAGCCCCAGATGTGGGGCGATGTTGTGACACAGAACATCTGTCGGGACGTCCGCCCCTCAGGGCTACGGGCGGTGGGTGGAGGCAGGCCCTGGGGCGGCTCACGGTTAATATCTTGCAGCACGCTGCCTGCAGGACGGTGCAGAACAGCGCCTTGAAGTCCTGAACCTGGGAATAGACGGCCTCTTCCAGCTGGCAGAGGCCAAGCAGTAGTTACCCCTTGGGCCCGAGAAGAGAGGAGGACCTCTCACCGCGATGGGGCCTACCTGTGCGTGCAGCAGGGACAGACTGAGACTGCAGACACAGGGAAATGAGGTCAGAGGGCTCTATCTCCTTCCCGCAGGCCCCGGGGCTCTGACTTCCAGTGAGGGTCCCTACAGAAAGGACAGCGCGCACTCACTTGATCAGCTTCCGGAGCTCCCGAGATTCTGCCCAGACCTAAGCCACGGCCTCTGAATCCTGCCGACACGACCCCCCCTCCATCTAGGCTCTGGCTTCAGGCAGGACTCACCTCCGGAGGACAGGAGAAGGCAACAGTGCGCAGGACTAATATTAAGGGGCAGGGACTCATGTATAAGGGCCAGGCCAGGGATCAGTGAGGAAACTGAGGCACAAAGGGGGTGGGCCCCCACATGTCTGTCAGTTTGTCATACTGCGGGGGCTTGCATGTTGCTGTGATGGTGGAAGCTATGCCACTGGTATTCAAATACCAGCAGGGTCACCCATGGTGGACAGGTTTCAGCTGAGCTTCCAGACTAAGACAGACTAGGAAGAAGGACCCATCGGTCTGCTTCTGAAAAGGATTAGCCAGTGAAAACCTTATGAATAGCAGGGGAACACTGTCTGATATAGTGCTGGAAGATGAGCCCCTCAGGTTAGAAGGCACTCAAAAGACAACTGGGGAAGAGCTGCCTCCTCAAAGTAGAGTCGACCTTAATGATGTGGATAGAGTCAATCTTTCAAGACCTTCGTTTGCTGATGTGGCATGACTCAAAATGAGAAGAAACAGCTGCAAACTTCCACTACTAATGAGAACCGGGAATATAAGAAGTATGAATCTAGGAAAACTGGAAATCTTCAAAAATGAAATGGAACACATAAACATCAATATCCTAGGCATTAGTGAGCTAAAATGGATTGGTATTGGCCATTTTGAACCAGACAATCACATGGTCTACTATGCTGGAAATGACAAATTGAAGAGGAATGGCATTGCCTTCATCATCAAAAAGAATGTTTCAAGATCTATTCTGAAGCACAACGCTGTCAGTGATAGTATAATATCCATACGCCTACAAGGAAGACCAGTTAATGACTATTATTCAAATTTATGAACCAACCACTAAGGCCAAAGACGAAGAAATTTAAGATTTTTACCAACTTCTGCAGTCTGAAATTGATCAAACATGCAATCAGGATGCATTGATAATTACTGGTGATTGGAATGCGAAAATTGGAAACAAAGAAGAAGAATTGGTAGTTGGAAAATATGGCCTTAGTGATAGAAATGATGCCGGAGATTGCATGATAGAATTTTGCAAGACCAACGACTTATTCATTGCAAATACTTTGTTTCACCAACATAAACGGTGGCTATACATGTGAACCTCACCAGATGGAATACACAGGAATCAAATCGACTACATCTGTGGAAAGAGATGCTGAAAAACTCAATATCACTAATCAGAACAAGGCCAGGGGCCAACTTTGGAACAGATCATCAATTGCTCATATGCAAGTTCAAGTTGAAACTGAAGAAAATTAG